AGACGATAATAGATGCCAACCTTTTTATAGCATGAATCGCGGTATTTAACAATGACTACGTTAGAAGAGGATTATCACTAACTTTATAAAGTCAACATAGCAGCAATTTTACAAGCTGATTTCTACTCAACTTCTTAGATATACCGACAGTTAGCCTTCATAGTACTACTACTCATCGTTGTTTCGCTAGCGGATGTTAAATAAAACATATGTGGGAGGACTTTGACCGACATATATGTCATGATCCATGTGCAAAAATGAAGTATAAGACAATCACTATCATCATGTTGGAAACGTGATTAGTTGTATTCAATTGATGGCAAGAAATATTTGCTGTTATCATTTACTTTCTGTAGATAGTCTTGCTGCCTTTAAGCGTATTGATCATGTTGGATATAGGCTTGCAATACTATTAGACTGTTAATTAGACGGTAATTTTTTAGCCAATAATGCTAGAAAAGAAATAGACTACTGTACTCTAATTTTCTAATTACTACACGCTCTAGTTAAGATGGAATTCAGGTCTTTGGCCATGGCCCATTAGAGAAGTCATATAGCATTTACAAGTAAGTATTTTCAAGATTTGAATATATTGCAAATTCGATATTATCCAACTCAATGTTGTAACTAATAATATGATAAGGAGATGAGTCAACTGCCTAGCAAAAGTTAGAACTAATTATACTCTTCTTGCATTGATTACCGGCAAACTATGAAGAACGCTAACACAAAATAAGGTGAAGATTTGTCAACAAGATGCCATTACACAAACATCACGTTCCTCAATAATGGAACAATCAATCAATAAAGGGTAAAAATAATGATGGCTATAGAGTAAACTATTGATGCTTAGTTGCTTTGCATAGAATGGTACCTAGCAACCAATTAGAAGAATATGCTGATTAGTAATGTTATGGCTAATAAAAGATTATGTCAACGATCAATCAATGGTTTGCAGATGTCAATTATAGACTCAGCATCCGTGTTGTAAACCTTCCTCATGCTATTATTTGCTATCTGATTTATTCATCTTGCTAGTATTGTTTGACATAACTTTCCAGCTGTTGACAAAAGCTAAAAAATAAATAGCATAAAAGTTAAGGACTTCCCCAACCAGTATAAAATAGTAGCGGATAAGCATTTCTATCCATCATCATTTTATGCTATAAGAGTGAGATATAAGTACCAGCATAGAATTGGTTCAATGCTAGTTTGTCAATTTTCTTCCTTCAGGCCATGTTGTAATGTAGCTATTCACTGTTTCTATTCTCTTCAAATCTATCTATTAAAGAACTGCCCAACTCTTGACTTGAAGTAGGAGATCGAATTAATACATCATTGGATCTTTTTGATCACGTTCTCATTTGATAAATTGTACTTTCACCTTACTGGCGATTAAAGTTGTACAACAACGATTTAAAACTGCCTAAAGCTAACGCTAACAACGCGTCAAGGTAAAGTGAAGTGTTCAAAGTTATTTACACTAATTAAAAGCTCCCGAATTTGAAGGTTGAAAATTTACAATAAATTGTTCTCGTAGAAAAAGGACCATTCGATTCATTAATTGCGTGTTCTACGAACGATTTAGTCCTTCCGGTAAAGAAATCTTCAACTTGGATACACCATCAGATCATACTTTTTGTAAGTTGGATCCGTTTCTTCCTCTTTGAAACATATATCATTAAATATCAGTAGAATATCGTCTTATAGTCTAGTGCATAGTATATTATCCAAAATTGTTCTCTGTCTAGTCACCTACTATAGAATTATGGTAATCCAAAAATACGCTATTACGCATTTTGATTCGTCAGCAAAAAAGCGACAGCACGTATCCAAGCATTAACATTAAGGAAGTAGTCTGTTAATATGGTTGTAAAGTTTAAGATATGATGAACTGTCTAGGTTTGCATCTAGCTATTCTATATTTTTTCTTTAATTGACTACATTTTTAAGTTAATCACCGTTTCGACACTAAATCCATGCGTTAGTCAACCACTACCAGCGTGGATTTCTACCTTGCGTAGATAATTCTAGTGCATAATCCTTACTTTCTATATCGGTGAGCATTTGAGAAAATGCTGCAAAGTAGCCATATCGATCGGGTTTGTGTTACCATTTTATAATGTGAATTTCATCGATATAAATAGAATGTACAATATAGCACATTCTATCAATACAATTAGCAATAGTCTGTAGTTAATTACAGTTAAATACTTGACAATTCCGGTAAAAATTGATAGTATCCTAGGATTGAGCTTCACCAAGATGGTGCCTATCACATGATACTATTCTGTTAAGTCATGATGATAGTAAATTTCCCTTTCGATCGCTGCTATCGGATATTATCTTAGCCTATTAGTGAGTAGGTTGAGTTCAATTTGAATATTCTCACTTACTATCTATTGGCTGAAGAATTTTATGACTCATGAAATAGTTAACACCCCATTTTTATGTCATAAAATAAATGCGGTTAAGAGCTTTTGTTTAATTCCGACTGTACTACAGTAATTCATCTCCAACGCTGCTAATTCGCATATTTTTGCTACTATAACTCTAAAATAGATGTTTTATGATTTTATGACTTTAATTTGCCCTTCTTCAAATACAAGTCATTTATTGACAAACTTTACTTCAAGTAATAGAAAGAAATAATTAGTCGTCATTAGCGAAAATCCTCCATTGACTCTATAGTCATTGTACTATTTAGGAAAGATTAAAATAACAATTTTTTTAACTTTCTGGCTTTTAGGTTTCATACAGACTCGTTATTATTGCTGTTAGCCATTAATTAGTGTCGCTGTCGCTAGCAAAAATCTAATTGAGTTATTTCTCCGTACAGAGCTTATCCTGTCAAGCTATACAATTCACTAAAGGCAGTCTAAAAAATAACTTTAATATAATTTAAAAAGCTGCTGGTGTATTCTTCATTGTGATGTGACTGCAATCTTATAGTTTTAGTGCAAACATAGTAAAGGAGTGTGATAACTCTTTGCGTCAAAATTTAAAGATTTTCGATGGAGAATTTTCAAGTTAGTATCTGTAATAATCTTGACAGTGATAGCGCAATTAAAGGGAAAAAAGGATAGATGAATATACCCGTTTCTTGTAATCATTTCTAGTCAATCTTGAAATGATAGATCAATTAAAGGGCATATGGTCTCATAAATTATCGAGGCAATTCAGATTAAAAATGCGACTTCATAAAGGTCAAAAATTTATGAATTACGGGTGTTTAGTATTGATGAGATTTTCTTTCTTAATTTCTCATTGATCATTGATGGTCATGGTTCCCGCTAGCTTAGATTATGTCCTATACGTAAAATTAGTATATCTTAAATATGATGAATAGTCCTGTGATAACGTCTAGTACCGTAGAAGTTGGATTAAAAAATCTAGATCAGAGTCTGTTTCATTTCATTTAATGAGAGAATAATAGGAAAAAAAAAGTTGAATACTGAATAAAATCTAGGTAATGGTGTACAGTGAATTGCTTTAATTACACTACAGCTGTTATTAATTTGGTTGGCTTCGATAGAATAGGCTAAACATTAGGATAGTGATCAGGAGTCCTTTTTAGTTTAGGAAGTTTTTCTGTCACCATTTACACTACAATGCTATGACTATGCCTAAACTAGGGCATAAATTGCTAAAAAGAAAGATAATTAGAGACTCTAGGATCTCTAGTGCTAATACTCTTGTAAGTAAAACGATTTCAACCTGAATAGGATATTTATAATTAGATTCTTTAACTAGTAAATAGCTTTGAATAGTTTAATTTAAACCCATGGAATTAAAACAACTATACTTTTATAATTCGGCTACATCTTAATCCAGGTGCTACTAGTACTCCATGGCACAATGGGTAATGTAACATTATTTGAAAATAATGTCTAGCTACCTAATTAAAATTAATGCATCTATTTTTACTTCAATCTTTATAAACAATAATTCTATATCCTATACAGACAGTATGTCATGGAAACTTTGATTAAAATTACTTCATATACAGCTCATTTACTTGGACTTAATTTCCGTTCATTTTCTTCAATGCTTTATATTTTACGTATGATGAGGATTTAATTAATAGAGAATACGCGTACGTCGAGAATTATGCGATCGTACTATACACAAAATAAGGTTAATTTCCGTTTCGTTATTATCAGCATTTATTCATAGGTCCATTCTGTGCTGAACATTTAATTAAGATTGAAAACTTCCTTACTAGTTTCTTGTTGTCTTATAGGTTAATTATTCCGTTCGTATCGAGTTCATTTATAGATTCTAATTTAATCGACATACAGTTATGTTGATATAACGTCAAAGAACCTCACTGTCTACTTTTAATAAATTCCATCTTGTTCATCATCTTCCCGACGTTATCCAACATTGAAGGCCTATTTCTTTGTGAAGTTCTACCGGAACAGATAGAAATAATAGTAAACCTTTTTTCAATTACATTGCTGTCTTATGATAAAGGCTTGATGTTTTCGCTTTATTTTCAATTCTACGAAAATAGTATTTTAGCGAAGCAGAGATGTAATAAGAAATAATTTCGATATGAGTTTCGCATTCGTTTAAGATAAAGATAGATTTTCACATAATAACAGAATCTGAGATTTTTAATTCATTTTATACCAATTTTTTCTTACTCAATTACATTACATACATATACCAGAATATTTTTTATTACAACGATTTATGATCACGAGCTTTTAGTAGAATAAATAGCACTCCATGATATTTAATTTACGTAACTCAATCTATATTATTGAGGTTGTTAGCGGACTTTATTTAATCGATCCATTGATTTATTTATCTATATTCAGAATACAAGTCAAAAAGCTCAACCCCGCAAAAATATAAAGCAAGTGATTCATTTCAAGCAATGATTTGAGTGACCGGAGAGTTGGATAGATAGAATATCCACTATATCCTCTCAATCATCGGCTATCGCTAAGAATAGTACTCGTCAGGAAGGCAGACTGAATCGAAATCACATCATGTCTGATAAACAGTTTGTCAATCAACAATCGGTGCCAGCTGGCTACACTTATGATAATCAAGCAATATGGCCGCAAGACAATCCTAATTTAGTTAATAGCCCTTCTAATCCTCGCAAAAGCAACGGTATTAAAAAGCAATATAGTCAACTGATCAAGAAAAATATTGCTAAGAAATTTATGCAAAGACGTGCAAGTGATATTAGCGATGACAGTATCAATCGACTTCATCATGCGGATCCAGGATTGCATGAAAATGGCCAAGAAAGCGCCGCTGAGCATTCATATAACATTACGTCGGTTACTCATATCCGCGATGAGAGTGGAGCATATAGTATTAGTAGGGTAGAATTAATGAAAACACCCGGTGTATCCATTGGTTTTTATATCCGTAATGGCGATGGATTCGATCGTTTGGATGGAATCTTTGTATCTAGAATTGCTCTAGGTAGTGTTGTCGATGTGAACAATTTAGTTCAAATTGGCGATGAATTACTCAATGTTAATAATGTCAGTGTTGCTGACATGACATTAGATGATGTCGTTGTTTTACTACGTAATCCAACTAAATTATCCTTGACACTAAAACGACGAGTTTCAACATCATGTCGTAATTCGCCTACTGAATTTATCAATCGCCCACAGCATTTAGAAACAAATCGCTACACAAGTTATCATCAACAGCAACAATTATTATCATCATCGAAAGGATTAGATCACAGTGGTAGCAATCATAATCATTATCCACGTCAACAACGACATCGGCATTCTGATCCTCAGCAACCATTTCTATCAAGTCATAATAATTCTCATCAATCCATGTCCAATCATCGTTCAACAACAAACCAACTCTTGGCTCCATCGCGTACAAAAAATAATCGGCGAAGCTCTGATCAATTCCCTGTATCTAGAAAAGGTATACCATCATCGCTAGAAATATTAAATGAAGGTTCCATCATCGATTATGGTGGCACAAATCATTCTAGTAATCGTACTCCAATGATCTCACCTGTTAACACTCGCTTTTATCAAACAGGGAACGATAGTTCGTATTTTTCAGCTACCGAATCCTACGATTCAACCAGTGAAAATTATAATTATAATTCCGATTCTTATCCTAATTCCAATCATGAAGATTCAGATACTCAACAAGATTCTATACCATCACCAAAAAGTAATCGAACCTGGAGAAGCCGTCAGTCGGATAGTCAACGTCGACATGGTGATGATATCAATCAAGCCGACAAGAATATTGCTCACTCGCTATTATCGCTACCATGTAATGAAGATCGCCGCCATTCATCGCCAATACTACCAGCTGCTACATTACCGGATCAACAAGTTATTCGACAAAACTCAGAATCAACATCAGAACGCGATCATGACGATATTGTTATGACTATTTCGTCGCAATCTGAAGCTGATAATAGTTCAATACAAAGTTCAGATGATTCAGTGCGGCCAGATACTTCGATTAGTTCAGACGAAGATGACTCCAGCAAAATGGCCAATAGCTTGGCTCAAAAAATGTCATTGCAATTGAATATCCGTAAACAGCTTACATTACCTATCATCGCTATCGATAGCGATTGTACTGATTCAGGAGCATCAACACCTGTATTAGAAACACCACCATCTAATCGCTCAAGCCCGTCACCTATTGGCGTACCATCTCCTTTAACGATGAGTATCGAAAATCCTCCATCTTCGGATCAACGAGAACGGTCTTATAGCGCTGACGATGATGAAATACCCAATAGTCAAAATGATAAGCCTGTCTTAGATACCAAAAAAATGACATTAACGCCTGGTATAGCTCGTGCTAATCTAGCGAAAAAGGAGAAGAAAAGATTTCGATTTAAAAATACAACTGATTTGCTAGGTGTCCCTCCACCAGTAGGTACACCAGTATTAAATGGTAAAGGGAAGAAAAAGTTCTCAAATAAACGTAATCGTTCTAAATCGCTCTCAGCTATTGTTGGCATGGGATTAGTTGCAGCCCAAGCATCCAGTATGCCATCCGATAATATGCCATCATCGACAAAGACAAAATCGACATATAGTAAAAAGAAGTTGTTTGCTAGCCCGAAATCCTCGCAACGTAAGCAAATATTGGATGTCTCTGGTATGCTGGGCATGTCTGGTAATAGCAATACAACCTCAAGTAATAAGAAATCGCAACGCTGTCCAAGTTATACACAATATGAATTAGATCATGATTTTATTGCTCATTTTAGTGAAGCCAAAGAATTAAGGGTTAGCCCTCCATCAGTGGATGGTAAAGAAGCCTTATTATCAGGTCGTTTAAGTGTCAATCTGTTATGTGGTAAAGATATGACATCAAGTGATAATGGTAATAATAATAATTGCAAACAACGTGATGTCTATTGCATTATTGAAGTAGATGGTGAAATTCAAGCTAAAACTAATAGTAAGCGTGGCACCACTCTATTCGAATGGGATGAATCGTTCGAGATTGATTTAGATTGTTGTCAATATGTCTCATTTAAGTGCTTTGTTGGCAATAGTAAAAGTACAAGATTGCATAATAAATCCTTGTTTGTAAGCGGCAATGTGAACTTTGCTAAATTGATCCATACTTATGGTCCTAATCATCAATTGGCATTACATACTAAGCCTTTCGGTGTCATCTATGCTAAATTTAATTTCGTTGGACAAGAATCAACGTTCCAGCGGCGCCCATCAGCACGAACTGCTGGAGTTTTTGGTGTTGATTTAGCAGCGGTAACACAACGTGAAGGTAATCAAGTACCTCAAATTGTTCAAAAATGTATAGCTGCTATTGAAGAGCGTGGCATGGATACTGTTGGCTTATACCGCTTATGTGGATCAGCTAAAAGGAAGCAAACTTTACGTACAGAATTTGAATTTAATGCCATGTCGGTCAATTTAGCTGATATTGAACGATATCCAGATATTAATGTTTTGACTGGTGTCTTGAAAGATTACTTACGCGAATTACCAGAGCCGTTGTTAACCAATGAATTGTATCCTACTTTATTTGATAATCCATGTATTTTAGAGAGTAAAGATTGCGACGCGACTATCTTAAACTTAATGAACTCATTACCTGAACCAAATCGTTCAACATTATCATTCATCTTGGACCATTTAGTTCGTGTTGGAAAGTTCGAGGATAGTAATAAAATGAGTTTTCATAATTTGGCTATCTGTTTTGGCCCAGTTTTAATGTGTTCTAGTAAAGATACTACCAATGGTATTGATTCAAAGTCAGTAAATAGGTCTATTCCATTGCAATCATTAACGCAAGATTTTAGACAGCATATTATCATTTTAGAGAGAATATTACAAGTATGGAGTGAATATATGGATAAGGGAAAAGTACCGTTCACGCAAACAGTTGAAAAAGAGAAGGATGGAAAAGCTGCAACAATTCCATCTTTTAATGATACCGATTCAGATGATGAATCGGATAGTTATGTGTAATAGTAGTTAAGACGATAGTTATTACTGGTTATTGATCACGTTACAAAATAACTACGGGTAATAATGTAGTTGATCCGGTTATATTCTATATGTAGGTGTACTCACCTAATGTATATATATATATATATACAGTATATACGTTTATATTTTATATGCAATATCGTAGGAAACAACGTCAAAAAACAATCTAAATCCTTGTTGCATTAGATTGGCCTCTTTCTTTATAAGGTATAAGCCGAATCCACACACCCAACTGTGCATTCAATATATAATTTGCATACATTGCACAGCCAAGTCTGAGGCTTGTCATTCGGCGATCATAATTGTGTCATCAAAACGTTGTGTTGTAACTGTAATGCAAAAATTTTTCATCATTTCTGAATGATAGGTTAAAAAATGAAGATTTATCGCTGTTGCTATTCTCTTATTGTGCTATTCTAAAGATATAAATTATTATTAGAGATATACGTATTTTCGTTACAAATTGAAGGCCTAGATTCATTTGTTGTATAATCATCAAGAGATAGAAAACTGTCATTACTAATTCATTTCAGCAAGCTGTAACCATGGATGGACACAATCTGTTACATGACACCAAATTTAGCATTTTATTTATGGAATATTTAGATTAGCTCGTAGTTTACTTTTAGTTACTATACGTCCATTTACAGCTTGTACAATGCAAATTACATGGTCTTTGTTTCCAATGCTACTTTGATTTTTCAAACAGATCGATCAAGATGTCTTTTAATCATTATTCTACTGTCTATAATCATTTTTATCTACAATATTATTCTACTGTACGTTTTGGATATTTGATAGAGTATAAATATTCTACTACAAATTTATCGATATGGTACTTTATTACAGTATGATCCATCAATATTGTTGTACTGTATGTTTATTGGTATGCAGTGTAGTGTATATCTATATATACTGTACTGTATATATCCATAATTTATAGCTTACATCACAACTTGATGATGATTGTAGGCAAGTAACATGGTCATTTTCATGTTTATAACATAAGAATAAAATTACGTATTTATGATTGTATAATACTGGAGTATTATTTTTATTATGGTCTACAGCACAAGTGCCATTTCTACAATATCAGCTATAGCGAGGTGCTAAAGGTCTTTTCTCACGTACGGAATAGGATTGATTTCATTACTGATTGATATCTACCTACACCAAGGACTGTTAGATGCGGTGTCATTGAGTAGTCCCTGCCTGCACCTGTGAGAATATTCAATTACAATATTGATCTTAGCCTGTGCAAACATGTAACTATGGCAATTATTTTAAAAGTTGACGTTTTCATCATGTGCTAGCCATAGAGATACAGTGGAGCACATGAAAAATTTGAGTTTCAATCTTAATATTAGTATCCCAGTATGACTTGTAGTCCATGACAGAGCAGTGCAATGAAAGACTTTTATAACACTGATCAAATTGCGAAGAGATCTCTCTTTTTTGTACGATTTTAGTAAACTTGATATGACTTTTATAGTGATACTACCGATGACTGTACAGTAGACCATAGGAGAATAGCAAAAGTTGTTGGAATCATTGCTTACCCCCTCTCAACTGAGATGTTAACTATTGCACACCGACAATATTTCAAAATTTTGTTAATTTACACACTTTTAGTACTCGCGCAAGACGAATTGACGCAACGTCCAATAGATGTTCTAAATTCGGCCATTTGTTTTTGACGGACTGAAATACGCGCCACGTACTCTGACGTATAGTGTGACGTACAGTGTGACGTACAGTGCAATTTCTTTTGTTTTCGGATATCAGTGTAATGATATGTCTACTTCTACTTCTAAACTGAGACGAGAGAGAGCTGTTTCACAGAAGAGAACTTTATTACTCTAAGTCTATCAGGTACAAAAGAGAGAGAGAGAGAGAGAGGGAGATACTGCTACACAGAGAAAGGATTCTCAACCCAATACGCTAATACACATACAGTACTGTACAGTATATGTATACTATATACTGTACCAAGGACCGGAAACGCTTGTTCGCTATTACTAATAATCCACTGCGCACAAAATGAACTTATGCGCATGCCCTGTGCAGGTCGATCGATTTCTCGGGGTATGACATATACAGTACTGTATATGTATACCATATACTGTAGCATGGACAGGAACCGCTTGTTCGCTATTACTAATAATCCACTGCTGCACAAAATGAACTTATGCGCATGCCCTGTGCAAGTCGATCGATTTTCTAGGTATGATTAAAGCATAGCTATCAAATTGACGCTTGAAAAGTAACGTTGAAAACCATGTAAACTTGAAAACTGTATCACGTCTTTCATTTTCAAGACGTTGAACTTGTTCTATAACCGTTTACTTGAAAACCACTGTATCACGTCCAGATTTCGCTCTTCTGTAATTTGGCAGAAGTGTCAATTTAAATGCTAGCTAGGCTTTTAATTACACCCGGCAAAATCCATTGACTTCCACGGGGCATGCGCAAGGGATCATTTTGTGAGGGAGTGTAATAACAGGGATTAACAGGCTGATTCTTTCACTGGTTATTTCAAGTGTATCGCACATCTATAATGGTACACGATACTGTCTGCGATTGACGTCTAAATTAGCTGCTATTAGCCTGCTAGCTTGGTTTTGTGCAGCATGGTATAAAAAAATGATAAGCTTGCACATTGATTTTACGCTGTGGTCGTTTCCTGTCAGTAGTCCCTGTCAGTACAGTAGTGAACAGAGCATGATTACTCCCAGAAAAGAAGACCAATAACATCCCTAACTAACATGAAAGAACTCAAGATCAATCTGCAGTAGGACGTCTACACAGTGTACAGTCTACAGTGTACAGTACAGCAGTGTACTGTATTGTAGCCTACTTCTGTACAGAGGTCACCTCGATTGACCTCCATCATGATCCCAACATCCATTGCGGTAAGAAAATGGAGATGACGTTACCATTGAGAGTGACACTAATTTGGACATCCACACAGCCATACATTTGCACGCCAATGGCAATGGCCTGTTACAGTACTCTATACACATGGGCTACTATATTGGACACTACCCTGTCATACAAGACCTAGCATATTGAGCGATACTGGCAAAGTTTTCATCATTTGAAGATCTCGCCCCGCTACCGGCGTAAGAAATTATTTTGACGACATCGATTGGGTAAAGCGTTAGCGATCCAATCGATAAATTGAAATTATTTCAAGTCGAATACATCGAACTGGGCTCAGTTTGAGCTATTTTCAGCAATGGCCGATGTCGACACCAATCAGATAGCTACCGATGTCATGAGCGAGAAGGAATTGCAATGGTCTGATCTGGATGGATTGCAAGTATTTGACGAAAATGGCGCTACCCTCAACTTTGGAGATCTTTACAAGAATCAAAAAACGATCATCGTTTTTGTTCGTGTAAGTTTATTCCGAGATCAACTTCCACCCTTCTATTAGTAGTGCCGTTTTTAGCCTCTTTGAGTATAAACTAGTAATTTAATATTAATAATTAGGACTGTATATCGTAGGTATGCGTAGTAAATCATGTGAAAAAGAGATGGATGATTAAGCACAAAGCGGCTTTGTTTTCTTTACAAGACAACGATGCATTTGCTGATCATTATTGCATGACTATACGCCCATCCATCGACAACATCGCCATTTCCAGTCCAAAATAAGAATACTTTTACTACCCAATAGGCATATCATGTACACTGTACAGTATTACGTGTACATAAGCTTATTATTATACACTTTTAGGCATGGGTTAGAACGGCAGGCGTGCACGGTATTGATTGATTCATTCATCGTTAAAACAGGACTATGCATACTGTGCAGCAGCATGTTGGCGCTTAATAAAGAATTATAATTGTTGAACGAGTGCTTGTGGTTTTCAAAATTCTTCACTGCAAAATTACGATATTTTTCCTTGATAGTCTTATTGACCTAGAGACCGATCATACAACGTACACTATATTCTACGGTACATTAATAAAATAATAATATTGCGGTACAGTATAATGAAACCTTATAAGCATGGAGGATACCTAGAAAGAATTCCATCAACAGTTAGGGTTAACCACTACCGGGATATCCTCAGGCACAAACAACTTTAAGAATATACAGTAGTTATCTCGTTGTACTATTCCTAAATTCTTAGCACTTTCCTTTCAAGTGCTGTACAGTAATGTAACCAACGACAAACCAAATACATCAATGTTAATGGAACTAATTGTAATACGTACTGCAAGATAAATGGGAAAGATATTGTAGTATAATATAATAACTTGAAGTATTCATTTGGTTGTATGTAATTTTGTACATGTCAGAACTTTGGATTGAAAATTTCTTTTATAACTATATACTTCTTTTTGACTATATCTATGAAAAAACATGGATAGCATTTCCTCTGATACATATGCAAAGAATATGTCGAAGGTAAATCTTGAAATGATATAAAAATAGAGGAATCATTGTTTTTCTGATTATGAATCATTTTCTAGTCTCTACTCAATAGTAATTGCTGCGATGTTTTCACATTACGCCTTGATGCATTCACAAACATACATTTTCAACTTCATAAGGCGTCTAGTCATCACTTTTTGTGAGATACGTTGCTTAATTAATTTATACAACAATGAGTACTAATTCAAATTATATTCTGATGGTACAATCGTCCCAACTTAGCAAACGTTTTATAAATTATGTTACACAGTACTAATCACGATCATTAATTATCCATTATACCAGCATTTCATTAATGTGAAATCTAGCTGTTGATTGATCTCATTGACAGTTGAACGTATATTCGTATTATTTTTTCTTCTTCTTAATTCATTTTTTTAAATTCTTTATCATAAGAAAAGGAACGTCACATTTGTTCCCCTAGTTAACTTTAATTTGTCTTTAAAAAAATATCAATTCTTACAGCATTAAATTTTAAATTAATTTTCATCAATGATAAACAATGACTGCATAGAAATCATTGTATTTTTTACGTCGTCGAAGAAACATATACAGTACACTCGTATTCAACAATAACAGTTATTATACGTGATTGCAAAGACTGTATTCATAAATGCACTGCAATGTTCTCTTGGTATTTAAAATCACATTTTTATTTCTTCTTTTTTATTAATAGATTTGGCTAAAATACCGCAAGAATCTTTAGCGGTTAGTAAAACTAATATTGCATAATCCAGTTATTGGCAATAGAGTGTAAATACTTGATTAGAATATTTTTGATTTATTCTTACGATTATGTATCGACTGAAATTCTATATTTGATAGGTACAAAATTTGCTTCTAGTCTATTACGCGAGTCCTGTATTCTAATAATTAAATGAATACAACACTTTAGTGTTTACAAGTATAAACCATCATAGTGTTGCATAAGAGAAAATGATTAACTATCCTAGTCATTAGTTAACTAACAAACACATTTATCACAAATGAATGATACAAGTAGATTATCATGAAATAGATCGAAAGTGTTTTTGATAATACTATCCACCAATTGATCGAAAGATTGCTTGTAAATTGGTATTGTGTGTACTAATCAGCGTGGGGAACGTAAAACAGTTGCTTCTTCCTCATCCATACCATGAGCTACTGTTCCAATGAAAGCCTTGTGCTACCTATGAACATTGCAACAAACTTCGCTTCTCTAAAGATTATATTATCATTACTATAGAAAGCCAACGTTCGACTTGCTGTGATTGGATGTGCCAAACACACTTTCATCAAGGTGATTGATCAATAACACCTCTAAACTTATGCTCTTGTAATACTGTAACTCAATTTGTACAAATTGTTCACGAACGGCTCAAATTTGATAAGCTATCACGTATTTTTTCTACAATAACTAGAACTTTCGTAAGGTAACTGGCTATCAGCATGATATGTACAGCGATCCACAGACGACCGTCTATTCCAAACTAGGCATGATAAGAACTCTCTCTACTGGAGCATCAGGTAATAAAATACCAAAGTGAACCATCAATTGATAGCCAGTAAACCTTAAGTAGCCTAATAGCATAGATATGGGTTATAAAATAGACGAATAAGAAATTGATCTTGACAATAGGATCAGAACATGTCAGATCATCTGTTGCATCAGGCTTAGCAAATTCGTTATGGCGAACTATGAAATCAATGAGTTCTCAAGGTGATGTTAAGCAGCAAGGTGGACAACTTATAGTTGGACCTGGTAGGTTGAATTTGTATTAATTCTTTCAACAATTGTTCGTAACTATGCCACCGTAATTTTAATTGTGAGCTATAGTATCGATCATGTATCATCTTAGAGTAAAATTGACAAATTGCTATGTTCATGATGCGGATCTTTCTACTATTTCAGGTAATGTTTTGAAATACCTCCATATTGATGGCGGTACATTTGATCACACCCCAATTAACAAATTACTCAGTATGGCCGATGTAGCAAATGTTGAATTTAAAAAACATTAATCGATCAAAGACTGAGTTTACTGCTCTTACAGCACTTGATTATTGTTGCCTAAAGCGGACGCTCATGTGTTGTTAATGATAAACTACCAATGAAGTTGTACATTTGAAATCCATTTGATATTGGCAAAATGTATAACCGATGACTACTGTAGTTTATATTATCAATTCTTGGGCACTATGACTCGCGCTTTTGGTCAACTTTTCATCTCATATACGTTCAATATATAGTATTTACGACACTAATGTTTGCAGTAATAGAGTAGATCGCTAATATTTAGTCGAAGTACCCTTCTGTGTTTTAATTTCCATGTTTATAAAGTTTGATACCTGTATACTTCTACATTGTAATATATGATAAAAATGAATTGTAGCATTCTAGACCTAGCTGAAATGTAGATATACAGAATATTAACGTCACTACGTGGTATATCTAAAATATAGTCAGGAAAAATCCTAGTACAATTGCTTTGCATTGATTATCTAATATACGCGCATAAGAATAAAATTGTGTTTTATGTGTGCATAAAAGCCAAAAAAACATTATAGCTTGCATAAGTACAGTAGCTTGTCGCTACATTTAATTCCTAATAAAGAATGATTAAAACGTAAGTAGTTATTAGACGGTAAAAAGTGAATCCAACTGCACCGGTTTTTGGACATGTGTGAAAACAACAATTTTTAAATCAGCCTTGGTCACTCCTAAGCATTCTCGCTAACAGTCGATTAATTGAGGTAAAAGACGCTACCTCTTCCCGTTATGGGTACAACAAATTGCTTAACTGAAGGTAATTTAAAACCCTCCCTACCATCATCTGTATTACAGTATGTGCCCTCGATTATGTCCTACAGTAGTCACACCAGCCAGTGATAACCTTTCACTTTATTCCCTTCGATCTCGTCGTAAGTTTACGATTTACGTCACGAGTAAATTTTTTAACAACCAGGCGCTTAGCTGTAAATTGGTTAGATGTATGCAATAATTACTACGTACAACCTTTCAAGAATGCTAAGAAACCGTTGTATTACTTGTATAGCATGAAATCAGTACCTCTAGCAATCATCCAATATAAGGGTGTCTATGAAAGGAATTAAGGACCGAAAAAATCTCTTATACAGTGCCAAGAAAAAATACAATGGTCCATCCACACGGCCAGCGTACTTGTCCATACTGCATTAAATCTCTCAACTTGAAATATAGTACAGTGTATACTGTATCACAATCCTCTAGTATGAGCATAATCTAGTGCTTGTATTCTCATAATAGGTTAATAACTGAATGCCCGCAGTTGGTGTTCTATTGATAGCTATTCGGGTAAGCCAATTTCAGCTTCCTGGTTTTTAAGTAGTCCCTTGTCAACCTCATACTGAACGCATATAGGATTTTATAAAGCGAAGAGAGCGAGGGGCTACACGTATAATATACGAGTAGTCGGCTAGGTACCTGCACCCCACTTGTTGCACCCAAACGAGTTTAGTGTAGCTTTAGTGGACCAACTTGACAGCATTACTGATCCGTTAATTAGTTGCAGTCCAATATACGAGTAGACCCAAGGTTAATAAATCAAATTGTGTGGCTATTTTCAGCCTTTCCGCAATGGCAGGAGTCGACACCAATCAAATTTCCGCTGAGGTGACAGACGAGAAACAACTCGAATGGTCCAAAATTGATGGATTACCAGTGTTTGACGAAAATGGTGCTACTCTAAAATTTGGAGATCTTTACAGGGATCAGTTAAGCATCATCGTTTTCGTTCGTGTACGTTTATTACACTCTTAAGATAGTTAAATGTTGCTTTAATCTTTCTTTAGACATCCTATACAAAGATATGAAATTACGATTGCTTATCTATACGCTCTAATTGAATTTTGAAAGGAAACACGAAATACCATTTTATCCAAAATAACTATTTTGCACTCTGTTTTATGTCATACATTATACACTATCTAGTATCTTACTACTAAAGTAGACAGTGACGATGCTGGTAAACTGGTTCTACACTTCTCTCTAGTCTAAAATAAACGTCAGACGTGATTTAAACCGTTAAAGATACACTATACGTAGATCATATATAGAGTCTAGCGAACACCACTAATTTCCGAAAAATAAAATAATAATTACCCCATTAATAAGCATATAATCTGTAGCATTGGCTGATCATAATTATTAACTAGGGTAGTTATAAAATGATAAGATGTTTACTTTCAGCAAATAGACAATGAGTCTAACACTTGAGGCTTCAAATCTTGCAGATGAGACAATTATACTAATTAAAATTTATAATCTTAAAGGCATAACCAGTTCACTTAGTTTGACAAAAATATATCAAGTCTGAAGACAACCCTGTTCTGTATATCGATATTTGCTTGATTAGGTACAGTAGAATACGCTATTTATTTACGATAGACAAGAATACGCCAAGTTTGAAGATAATTCTATTCTCTATACCGATAATATTATCGATATTTGCCTGATTAGGGGTGTTATAGGATACACTATTAACTTTCGATAGAACGTAAATTGCATTGGAAATACTGTATCAGCCTTAATTTTCTTGTAGTTCCTCGTCTATCAACTTTCGTGATCCACTGACTTCGTGACGATGATATCCGTCAAGAATTTTTATCATTAAGTTTAACTTCTGCTGGCAGTAGTATCTGTATAGTAATCTCTAGTTTAGAACTGTAAGACCGAAGCACAAGGCTTATGCGCAATACATTAATTATTACTGTAGAAGTTAGACTTCTTTGCGATTTCAAATACGGTTTTGATCACTTTCGGATAGCTTCTATAATTATACCACTATAGAATCACATTTTACGGTACTAACTACATCCCTTTCCTTATATGACATCTTTTAAGAACAAAATATGATAAGCACGTAAGCTGCGTTAAAAATCAAATCAATATTTATCAGAACATTCTAGACATAAATGTCTAATACAGTGTCCTGTAATGACCTTATTCTTAGTATTAGTATTACTCTATAAAGTAATGTAAATTAACGACACACTATATATTTTAAAGCAGCGGATTAATCTTACTGTGCTAATTTAAAACTTTCGTTTAGTTATTATTCTTTAACTATCCTAAAAATTGATAGAATTCTTATAATTTATACTCCTTTATGAACACAAATATCGTGGAAAGCATTTCCTCTGATACGTATGTAAAGAATATGTCGAAGGTAAATCTATGAGATAGCACGAATCTAAACTAAATTATTTTTCTAACCTTTCCGTACTCCCTATAAATAACCTTGTAAATAAGTTCTTATGAATATATAGTCCGAAATTAGGACGAGTTAATTCAACCTACTGCATACTCTTTTAATATGCTGTTGCAGATTTATTTGTAGTAGGGTATATATAGATGTATTAAATTGTTGGTGACATAAATTAATTTATTGATTAGAGTAATATTTTGATACTATGACAATTCTAAGTTAGCGCACACCGTACATGCTATTAAATGAATTAAAGTGTGAATCTAGCTAATAATTTATTGTACATTTTCTTTCACTCTTAATTAATTTTTGATCCTATATACTATATAATAATAACAGGGCATTTCCTATCCAACTTCTTTTGATTTGTTTTTTAAAATGGCAATCATTACAACGTTAAAATTTTAAATTAGCTGTAATCAATATCGAGTACTTACTGTACAAAAATCATTATCAAAGTATTTTAATTACTATTAAAGAATTATGGATATCAAATATTCATGAATTGTTATTATCGTACATAATGGTCGAAACTATTCACAAACGCTGTGCAGTAATTATCATAATATTGAAATCTTATTTTCATTTCTTTCTACTTTATGGATAGATTTGGCCAAAATACCGCAAGAATCTTTAGCGGTTAGTAAAACCAATACAGGATAACTCAGTTCGTGGTGGAATGATGCAAGCTCTCACATCAAAATATTCTATATATTTTCTTAAGATTATATATCCACAAAATTTTTATCTACAGAAATTTACTAATGTATATTATGCTCTTAGTGAGCTATAAATCAATTTAATGAAGATAGTAAATGATAAAGATTGTTAAAAATTCAGTATTTATAAATATAAATTACCATAATATCCAGTGAAAGAAACGATAAAATACCCTAGCTATCAGTTATCATATTAATATTAAATTTATCACTACCTTAAATGCTATGCGGAAATATAATCATTGTGTACGAGTATCGAATGTTTTGATTCCATAGTCGATTAATTCAACGCAAGAAGCTTAGGTTATAATATTATGCAGAAGGAGTCCTGATGAGTATATTTTCAAAAACTAATTGCTCATTCTTGCATTCTAGAATATAATTCTTCGATTAAAATCTTGCTGTGTATATAAGTATTCTAAGAGGTCTTACGCTTTTCTTAAGGTTAATTTATGCTACTATCATTACTGTTGAATAATTTTATAGGAAGCCAACGTTCGACTTATAGTAATTGGGTGTGGAAAGCCTAACTTTATAAAGGTGACCAGCCAATAACGTCCTCTTAAATAATTTCCCTACTATGCTACAAATATAACTCATATTTGTAATTGGAAAACCGCTCAAATTAAATAATCCGTTATGGCCCTTCTTTTGAATAACTAGAAATTTCGTCAGGAAACTGGCTATAACCATGATATGTACTGCGATCCACAGAGGACCATCTATTCAAAATTAGGCATGGCAACAACCCTTGCACATGCAGCACCAAGTAATGACATTGCAAAGCAAACAATTAATTTGTAGCTAGTAGCCCTTGAGTAACTCGATATGGGTCATAAAATTGAAAAATAAAAATCTTTGATATAGGGTCAGAACATATCAAATCATCTGAATTATCAGGCCTAGCCAAGTCGATATGGAGAGGTATCAAATCGATGAGATTTCAAGGTAAAGTTACGCAGCAAGGTGGACAACTTGTAGTCGGACCTGGTAAGTATTGCTTTATGAATTTATTGAAATACGATAAATCTCTTTTCTATTCGAAGATTATTTCTAATTATCCGAACATAATTTTAAGAATACTCTTGTTTTTAAAATCAATTAATTATCAAAGTTCTATAATCATGAAAAGTAGATATTTACTTTCCTGCCTTCTACTATTTTCAGGTAATATCTTGAAATACTTCCATACTGATATCGGAACGTTTGATCACACCCCGATAAACAAATTGCTTACTGTAGCAAACGTAGCAAACATTAATTTCACTCAACATTAATCAAAGGAGGACCGCATTTACTGGTAAAACTTAGTTATAGCTATCTAAAGCTTAAAATGTCCAAGTGCTGATAATACTAAACTGCTAATGAAGTTGTGCATTTGAAATCCATTTGATGTTGGCAAAATGCATAATTGATGGTTACAGTTTATATCATCGATACTAGGACAATATAGCTCACACTTTGATTGTACTCTACTCTTTTCCCCTGTATACGTTACATATACACACATTTATGCCGTTAATATTTACAGTCAGGTATATTAGATATCTAACACTTAGTATGAGAGCATTCCTCTTCCAAATTAACTAATTACAGTAGTTATAAAAGTTGCCATATATATCATTCTAAGTTGTAATACGAGGTAAAAAAAAACTGCAACTACGTAGAGCTGGCTACAATGTAGTTTTAAAAAAAGGTATTCATACCACTGTAGTCTGCTTAAACTGCTATTAATATGGATAACGTATCTTACAATACCTGACATTAGGTAATGAAATCATATGCATGTTCATGTACACGTATAACAAAGTAATATTATGGTGTTAACAACAGATTATCGCTGTATTTAATCCCTAATAAAGATATGGTTCAACACCAATAACTATTGCTGGATCTACTCACTGATAAGGAGAATTGGTTATTAAATTTAGTTTATGCTCGAAAGTTGAGTTAATCAGCGAATATTAAAATCCTGAGTGAGGATACCGGCACCTTGTACGGCATAAATATCGTAGATACAAGATCATTCAATTACTAATGGCCGATACGATAAATGATGCAATTGTTCCAAATTACTAGTCGATCCCTCGCTCGTTAGACTTCGCGTAATATATTGACACTTTTTAGTTTACTGTATAATTTATCACTGACTCATAAACAAACCTAAAATAGTTAGCTAATCTTAGCGTAATAAATGTAGTAGAAATATCTATGTATGAGGTAGATTTATTATCGTATAGGAATGTAATTTTGAGGCTGTACTACAGTATTTTATTATTATTTATATATTGCATGTCGATGATTACATCAGTTAATGAAAATTTTAAGGGCATTATCTCAAGCTACATTAGAATTTAACGTTGGATATTTTTACTATAATTAAATGTAAACATGCCGATAAATATTTTAAATTTTTCTATCCCGCGATCGATTGATTATTTTAGTCACCAGGATATGTTTATTATCTTAAATGAAATCTTTTCATTAAAAGATTTTTCCTCCTCTGTGAATCAATGAGCAATTCCTGACAATTCAGTTGAATTTAAATATTAATTTAATATGTTATCTATAATATCGATTTCATTGTACTATACTGTGCGTTGGCAAATGCTAGTTACACTGCTAAAAAAGGAACATAGAATACAATTATGCGACTAGAATGAAACAGACTGAGTCGATTACTGCATGATAAACTGTTATTTTGTGGTCTAGAGACGTACTTAGTACCAGCACCCACTGTACACACTATGAATACTGCCATGAATAATTTTTAAGTTATTGTAGCATACCATGCTGAACTATTAAGCAGAAAATAATGCAACACGATTCTAATTAAAATATTGTAGTGGGATAACTGTCAATCAGTTGCATCAACATTGATCTAATAACCCACTCCGAACGCATAGCTTTGAGCTGGATGGAAAAATTAGAATATTTACTCCTAATGTGATTGTCAAACATTATCAGAGGTTAAAATATGCAGCATTTCTGTACTGATATAGCGCTTGATAAGAATTAAATTAGCTGCAAGAAACCATCTGCAAGTATTAATCAGCTACTTATAAAATAGTTTATCGGCAAAAATAAGAACTAAATAGAAGTACGCATAGCCTTTACGATATACGTATTATAATTATGTGTAATGTATCATAACTACATTTACACAATTTGCCTTAACCACCTTTATGCAATAACTGTCAACACCACTTATTTCCATAAATTCAATAATAAAAGTAGTGAGATCACCTTTCTGTAGCACAGCATACAAAGGGCTAGGAAGAATTAAATTTCTTACAAATCGTAAAATTTTTCCATTAAGAGTCAATTAGCGATGCTATAGTTATGCTAGATCCATCACGAATTTGATTAATTCTAACTTGATATCAACTTCTACGTTATTTATCATGATACACCCCAAATTTCTTTTATCAAATACATATAGATAGGTTTGTAGATAGATTAGATAATAATTACGTAGTATTATCTCAGTTGAATCGCACAGTGCTAAGTATTAATCTAACATTTTACTACATTAATGCTGCAAAGAGCGGACAGAGCAGATCGCATAAAATTGGTATTTCTTATCCTTAGTAGCTTTAATGAGGCTTTATACTTTGTAACCAAGAATACACTTTCGTGATTATACTTACATAGAAATGGGCTAGTAAGACCGTAATAAATTTGATAATGTAATACTCATAGTCACTTGTATTAAATTTCATCTACCATATGCAACAACTACCGTACGTTATTAGTGGCGATATTTAACTATCATAATATCAGCAAGCTAATAAGACCACAACGAATCTGATAGTATAATATTCATAGTCGCTTTTATTAAATTTCATCTGCTATATGTAATAACTACCTTAAGTCATTAGTGACGACGTTTAGTTATAATAATATTATACGTGTGCGAGCTTAATACAGTCCAATCTCGACGATAAAGCAGTAAATGAGGTTATAAGCTCTTACTGGGCATCTTCCACGATTACTTTATTAAGCGTAACTGTCTATTTTACTTTCCAGCACTACCTACCTACTTGATGGTACTGCTATAATTAGCTGAAATCACTACAGTTTATCAACTATGTATGATATTTCTTTTCACGATAATAAATAAATAATCAAGTGGATTGATGGATAATATTTACGTAAAGTGATTATGACCGATCAGACTGATAATTAATTACCAGCTTCTAAAGAATGGAAAATAATCACAAAAAGGTTTAAAATTTAATTACAGGTATGAATAGTCGATAATAGAATCAGAATAGGAAATGAAGGCTGACTTTAGAGAGGATAATAATCTATGGATAAGCATTAGTACAGCTAGTATCCCTAGGTGTGCATAGACGTAAATATAATTTTAAAATTATGACAAGACTTCCAATACTATTTGAGGCACCGTCTAGCTCATTTTTGATTCCAAATATTATTCAACGGATGAAGGACAGTAGTCGATAGTATCATCATTATATAAACTAAACAGTTAATTCTCTCCACTACAACAATTGATTATGATGAATTGATCTAGCTCAAGACAAATTAACTAAAATCATCGGATTAAAATAAGATCCAAATTAGCTTATATGCGAACTAATATTAGCAAGATAATTAAAATTGGTCGACGATCGATTGTTTAAAAATGGCGATTTCAATCATTGATCAAGCAAATAAACAACTTGAAGACTTTTTCGCGATTTTAATTGAATAATAATTAGTTGATTTGTAACAAGCAACTGGATACAACATGAGTAGTTGGCCTGAAGCAAATGTTCTATTGATTTCCATTCATCATCTTACGGCTACTAGTATTAATATCATGTCAAAATAAACCCATCGATGGCAATAAAGATGTTAGCTTGCCTGGAGGGATAATTATTGTTATTGGTTAACAACCGATCACATGGTTGGCAACGTCAGTTAGTAACCAAAACTAATCATTATTGTTAAAGCCAATTCAAATCCAAATTTTACCTCGTTGTTGTATTATTCTATCGTCGATTATTTGTTATTTTTCTTTACTGAATAGTATTGATTGTATTGAAAGATAGATACAAGTTTGATTACCTAAATTAGAAATGCAGTCAATCTATACAAGGATAAGGTTGAACTAGAACAGCATGACTGCAATATTATGTGAATTAAATCATCATGAAAATAGAATAGATAATTAACCTGAGTACAAACAATATCAAGTAGATAGACTACAATCATCAAAAACCATCCTCCAAGTTAAGTAGTTACGGTATAATAAGCAACACATTTTAATCTACATGTTGACGTGAATAATCCATTTGAACAGTCACTTGTTCCTATTCGATATAGACTAATCTTTTTTACTTCGATTATAGTTGTAGACATTACTTTTCGGAGCGCTTTCTTGAGTAGAGTGATTTCTACATTAGTTGAATTATTTCATCCATCATTTATTTTATATTCTTTTATATAAGCTTGTATTTCATCTCTGGATCCATTAATCTAGCGAAATATTGGTCTAATTCTTACTGGTAGAAACTAACGTCAAGTTGAAAGGGATAAAAAACATCCAAATCGATTCTACCAATTATTGTTTTATACGTATTAAAAGGTGGTTCTATTAATGATATTTTAATCATCACTTTTAATCATGATGAGTGAAAGTTTAATCTTGAACGAAGCGAGTGAATTTATAAAAGGTAAAAAGAAAAAAAAATGTAAAGTTGATTGTTATAAGGCAATCATCGATCACTTGAAAGAGCTCCATTGGATCACTAGGCTGAGATTACTTTACGTTATTGTCATCAACTTGTAGTTTATCGAATTAATCAGTTTAATGGAAAAAAAGAAAAATAAGCTCTTGCTATTAGTGATGAATAAGTTGAATCATCATTTCTTTATTTGTAACTCCTTTTTAACTATTTCTTCTATTCGTCTGCCTATTTCAGGTCGGTTATATTTTGTTACACTACGAACTAAACCGCGTAGTTCCACTGGTGTCCACTATTTTAGTATCGATCATGAATTTCAATATGAAAAGTAAGTCGATGGCATTGACTTTGTGGTTAAGTTAATTACATCACTTTTCATCGATCACTACCGGTCTATTTCATATTCGATTATTGATCCAATATAGTTAGCCTAATTTAATATGTTAGTACATCAACATCTTTTCGAGCATCCATTAGCAAAAGCATTTCTTAATATCGTCATTTTCAATTGATACTACTAAGCCGATTCTAATCCTGATATATCGTTATTTAGTTTCTATTCTGACTTTGGTCCAGTCAATATGGCTGTCCTATATCGCTACTATTGCAAACTAAACAAGAAATTGAAGGTAATGCCAATAAAATAGAGGAAACTCTTTCTACTCTTAAATTATAAAATGCAACTACGGTTTCTTGACTGAAACTTGATCATAGCTGTTACCATCATTAAATATGATATTTAAAGGATAGTATAATTGGTGTTACTTTGTATTGAAAGTCTTGAATAGTTCTTTTCCTGTCTAAAGCTAATTATTGACAACTTCAAATGCTGGCTAAATTATCATGTTATATCGTAAAGTCTCTTGTTGATTTTACTACCATTGTAGTCTCCAACACTGGCTAAGAAGAAAATTGTTCATTATACAAGTTACGACAGCAAGAAACGTGCTAATGCTGCATTTTTAATTGCGGCTTATTCGGTAAGTTACTTCTCATTTATTGAATGCATGCGATTATCCTATAATATCAGATTTAGCTTTTAATCCGGGATGAAATCTTCTCAATCCTATCATGCATGTATACTTGCTTGTCCTTGTTTGCAAATATCGGCTTTATTTTTAAATGATTGTCATTGCTTCTGTTCTCATCGACTCATGAAAGAAATCAACACGAGTCAAAATTGGTTTTTTGCCCCTTCGATATTTGTACCACTTTCATCAAGTTATTAATTTTTTCCCTATTGACTTAATCTCTAAATCGATATTAATACCGTTGTTGTCTATGATGATTTCTCCGTTCCGTTGACTGTAACGATCTTAAAATCACCCCTAAGCATTCATGACTATTCCAATCGTGATTCATCCTCCGTCTGCCATTCCTTACTATATCGCCTAAAATTTTGATTTTAAACGTCAACGAAAGATTATTTTCGGTATGGTAGGTTTCAAGACTTGATTGCGCTAGCTATCTATCTCATTCTCGTTGTTTTAAATCATGATACCGCATGATCAGATTGATCCGGATTGGAAATCCCTCCTTTCTTCATTGATTTGGTATTTTATCATTTTTCTACATGAAAAAATTGGACACAAATTAAATTTTACTTCAGCATCGTACCCAATACAGTAATTATTTATCTATCTAACACGATTTGCACTCTTTAATTCATGACTAGCAACATTTTATCAACTACAATATTGACTTTAAAATAGTTGTTTATATTAATATGATTTCAACCCTGTTTTCCCTCTTCAAAATTCAAATTGAATGTCAATTATTAGACATCTTCAAGCATTTGTTTAGTTTCATAATTTACTCATCTAGATCGCTTCAACATTGGCTAGTACTACAATTAATCATTTTACCACGTCCCGATAAAGCTTAGTGGCTAACACTTAGTCTATTGAGCTTAAAAGAAGAGGCGTAAAATTCCTTTTCAACCATTTGTTAAACACGATTTAAGAACTGTACCTTTAAAATAAAATCACGGTTCAATTTTTATTTATTGCTGTTTTGACGGCACTCAATCGATGACATCGAACGAACTTTTGTAAAAGTAGACAAGTTTATCATGACAACCTATGGGGTATCCTATTCATAGTCACCAATTGATCTTAGACAGTCGATTTTTCGACACGGAAATAGGATTAGTTAAGTATTTTTTTTAATATGTAGTCGTTCTGGAGAACTGTAATGATTTCTGATATCATTTTTACTCGATTCAAATAGTGGATTCTTCATAACGGAACTAGAACTAGTTAAGAAATCCTTTTTAATATCTGTTGTAGCGTTTGAAGAACTGCTGTAATTTACAATATCGTTTTTTACCAAATTCAAATAGAAGATTCTATATAACGAAACTAGAGCCAGTTAAGAGTTCTTTTAAATTTATCATAGCTTTGAATAACTGCTGTAATTTGCAATATCGTCTTTTACTAAATTTAAATAGCGAATTCTTTGTAACAGAACTAGAACTAGTTTAGAAATTCTTTTAAATTTATCGTAGATTTTGAGTAACTGCTATAATTCACAATATCGTCTTTTACCAAATTCAAATAGAGGATTCTTAATGACGGAACTAGAACTAGTTAAGAGTTCTTTTAAAATTTGTCATAGCTTTTGAAGAACTGCTGTAGTTTGCAATATCATCCTTTACCAAATTCAAGTGGCGAATTCTTTATAATGGAACTAAAACTAGTTAAGGACTTCTTTGAATCTGTATTAGCTTGCAAAGACTTGCAGAGACAGGCAATATCGCTTTTTGTTGGAATCAAAACCGTATTTTGCATTCAACTAGACATTAGATTCCGTTACTATATGAGGTTATGGTTAGACGAAAGATACTAAGTTTTAAACCATTTAAGATTGTCTTCCCTCATACGAGCGTCTGATTGTAGGTCTACTTCACACCGCTTTGAAAATATAACCAGGCTAAACTATGCTGTTAAATTAACAAGAAAAGAGTTCAAATCTGAGTACCTTCTTATTGAGCTAAGTGGCATAAGTAAAGAAGTTTTAAAATACTTCTCAGCACCTACACAAGTCAATCCTACCCGAATTTTCACATTGTTTTCTAATTTAATTATGCTACATAAGTATAGAAGTTTTTTAATACGTCGCATCACCTAAACTAGCCTTTTCTACCCGATTTCCACTTCCTTTAATTTATATCTCCAAAGCTACGGTAGAAATGATGATCTTTTGAAATTAAGTGATCTATGAGCACTTTATATTACACAAATGCTAGCTAGAGGTAAAATGTTTAGGAAGTCAAGAAGAAATCAAATCCTTGGATAAGATATAAAAATGGACAAAATCAAATTTACGTTTAAAGGCCAAACGTTCATAGAATTGATAATATCAAGGTTCCTACTTAATGCGCATCGTTAAATCAACGCAGTTAACGTAAAAGGCTTCAAAGCCTTGCAATCTAATGATGGATCAGAAATGGATTGAATCCGTCCAGTGAAAGCTGTGAAACGAGTCGTAACTATCCAGCTTGAGACAAAAAAAGTTACAGTTCAATAATTGAGTCGGTAGCGATATAATGCTGCAATCTCATGATAGAATAAAGGTTAGGCTGGATCAATTTAGAGTTTAGGGTAAGAAATTAATAATATTACTGCTTAGAGCTAACACTTCAATAAATGTATAAGGAGTGGAATAGGGTCAATTCAAATGGCCTCAAGACATGATAGTTTTTGAGGATGAATAGACTTATTTTCTATTCAATGAATTTTAAGGTGCTTTTATGTAATATCATTTGTCAAATCAACGACAGATCTTAAAAAAGAAATCACTAATAATATTACGATTACAATTAATCAATGCTAAAGTAGCAGAATGTTGTAGCTTATGGTGGTCCTCGTATAATCCAATTAGAAATGGTTCTGTAAGGAATGCTACTACTAGTCAAATCGAGGACAGGTCTTAAAAGATAATTTGTCAATAATATCACGATTTACAGTCAATCAATGCTAAAGTAATAGGATGTTGTAGCTTATGGTGGCTCTCGCGTAATCCAATTACAAAAAGAGGTTTGCAAGGAATTTTATAACTAGTCAAATCGACGACAGCTCTCAAAGAGAAATCGTTAATAATACCACAATTTACAGTCAATCATTGCTAAAATAACAGGATCTATTGTAGCTTATGTTGATTCTTACATAATCCAATTAGAAAATGGGCCTGTAGGGAATCCTATGACTAGTCCAACCGACGACAGATTTTAAAGACAAATCGTCAAAAATATCACAATAACAGTCAATCAACGCTAAAGTAACAGGATAGTGTTTCTTACGTTGGTTCTCGAATAACCCAATTAGAAAACGGGTCTATAGGAAATCTTTTTATAGATATTGAGATCACAATAAAGCTACTTAAAACAAATTTCCCTAATATCATCCTTTCTAATTGAATAAAATCCTAAGAAATGATGAACGTTGCACTTTCACATTACGAAGACAATGACAGGAGAAAGGAGCTCTTCCTAAATAGCACTCTCCAAGTTTATAATCACTGAATTAAATAATAAGCAATAAGGATGCATCAGAATTCTTTACCAAAGTTATTTTGTAATTTGGTAATACAGTAACGCGTTGTTTTAAGCCCTCTTATGTATTCATAGAAACGATTTCGGTCGCTACCGTTCTTCTTTCCAGAGTCAATCCGCTGTCTGCTGCAGTCAGATAGACAGTAATCCCAAACAATTTCTTACATGCATGGATGAAATAGAGTCAAAGAAGAGGAATGGAATCATGTCAATTTATCCATCCACTGATAATCCTTCAAAATAAATTTCGTTCATTGACTTTGCCGTCCAGTTTTTTGGTTCTACCAAAGTGCCTCACAATCATTAGCATTGCCATAGTTTCTATTATTCATTTCCATTATATCTTAAAAGCTCAACTATGGAATAATTTGTTAATTCAATTTTAGGTTATTGGTTTAAGAAAATCACCTGACGATGCCTATCATATTTTAACAAATGGTAATAAACCTCCATTCCTACCATTCCGGTAAGATTGTTAGTTTTAAGTAGTATGATAACGAACTCATTTTCTTGCTTGTTTATAACCTTTTACTGCTCACAACGACTTGTACAACCTACCATTTTCGACCGGATTTACTATAGCATTTTCCAGTGCAAGATTTCATTGAGATGCTAAGACATATTTAGTAGATGGCATAACCAGGAGATACAATAGACCTAAAAATAAACCTTTTAATGATAGCAATAGCAACTATAGAACATTTCTTGGGCTGATCATATCCTGAGAGACCACTCTTTCTACACGTACCGTATGATATTGAATCAAGATTTATTAGCTTTAAAATTCCTTCTTACTTTTATTACACTTGATATACACATCGAATAAGTATGTCGCCGATGGGAAATTGTTTCAGCATAAAATACGTATTCCGCATCGGTATAATAAGCCAAATCTCTACAAAAGTAAACAAGTAGTCTGATAAACTAGGCTTACTAGTAACTAGAGTTTTCGAGGCTAACAGAGCTAGCAAGGCAATCATTTTAAACTTTAAGCCTAGTTATCAAATCACCCAATTAGCTTGGACTAGTTATAACACTTATTTTAACCCTTAACTTGGAAACATCATCTATCACAATAGCTATTCTGATCGTTTGAAAGAAAACATTGCATGCTATCTAACGATGTTACGAATTTTCTTCAGTAAACTAACCCCAAGAAATATCTTCATAAACTTAAACGACTAGCCACTATTAGGATTGATTTTCTAATCCTTACTGACCTTACCATGTGTCATGATTAGTTTATTTGAATATCTCTAATTATTCTTTTCAATTAAATTTAGGGACGCTTCTTATGGGCCATCTACTTACAACTTAACCATTTTGCATTGCCTTAAAGCTCTCAAAAAGGTAAGAAATAAGTGCTCAAAAAGAATCTAGAGCAGAAGTCATCATAAGTAGAATAGAGTAAATAGGATTGCTACCCGCTCTCCTTACTTATAGTCTTATTAAATACATTGCTGTCTACTCTATCTTAAGATCATGTTTTAATATTTGATATTGCCTTTCTTCTAGGGCATGGACAATGGTTTTGTTTCCTTTGACACTTTCGACGTTGATGAATACGAATATTACGAAGTAAGGCATCAAATATTCTCCTAGAACTGCCAAATTGAACAAATATCACTGCAATGCCTTAGCAAGCAATTAGTACTATTTAAGATTTTACAAATAGTACCAATGAATTCATAGATAGCCAATTCAGTTTTGGTTCCACACCAGACTATCTCGTATATGATTAATTCTACTTTAGAAGAAATGCTATAAATTGTTCCTCTTGCTATACTTTGATTAAATAGGATATAGTTCAAATAGTATACTAATACGTAAACGTTTATGATTTGTGTATGACTACCTCGTATATGATTAATTCTAAATTAAAAGAAATTACTAAATCACCTCTCTTACTTTATTTTATTAAACATGATGTAATTCAAATGAATTTTTTTAAATGTAAATTTTATGATTTATTCCTGACTATTTTCTTCATGATCAATTTCTGAATTAAAGAAATCATGAAAATCACCAAATTTTACTTTAAATACGATACAGTTCCAATGATACTCTTATAAGCAAATTATTTTATTATTTAACATTTTAGAAAGTGGAAAATGGCGACTTTAATTGGATTATACCAAGTATGTTTAGAATAGATTACTCTTTAAAAGTTATGAATTTATTTCTTAGCATTTTGGGTTTCGATTTATATCTATACAATCTATATACGCGTATACAAAATAATTAAAGGTTACCATCTAACAAGATAGAGCTATCTTAATTTCTAATACTTTATTTTATTTGCTAGAAAAATTTTTAGCATTTAGCGGACCTCATGATAAAACAACAGTAGAAAATGGTAAAGAATAAAACAGTAGCTAATTATCCAAAATCAAGATTATAGCTCACTTTGATTTTTTTTACTCCTGTGTAGGCTATCCATTACATGCCCCAGAAGCCTACATTTCCTACTTTCATAAGCATAATATTACATTTGTCATTCGACTAAACAAAAAAATATACGATGCTAAGCGATTCACCAATAATGGTATTGATCACAAGGACCTTTTCTTTACCGATGGCAGCACTCCAAGCGATAAAATTGTAAAGTAAGGAACAGATAAATAGGCAAACCTATATTTCTACATAATTACTTTTATTAAGTAGTGACAATAATGGATTTGATTGGATAGAAAGCATCCTGCTTTAAGCTTCATATGTTGCTTTGAAAGTTGTAAAAGTGCTAGTAAATCCATTTAAATCTGAGCTATTCTTATAAACATGAGAATATTTAGTAAGAGATGCTTACAAACAATCAATTTTCAATTCCAAGAAAAATAATTTAGCTTAAATCTTAATTTATAAACTCTAAGTTAGCCTTAGCTTATAGTAATTAGGATGATCATGATAATTATATGACCACTCAGTTTAAGAAGCACAAACTAAATTCACACAATGAATAGATCGACACAAGTAGAGACGAGCATACAGCACCTGTACTCATTAAATCTGGTTCTGATCAGATTTAATATCAGAAATCATAAACTTACAAAATCTGTATTGACACTGTATAACGAATACGCTAAAATAACGTAAAATGCATCCGGATTTCTAGATATAGTCTTAAGTACAGATTATAACGAAATAACAACACTGCCAAATAAAGCATCGATAAATTAACCTTTCTAATAACAACTGATTCTTTTAAAAACAACATAAACTATACTATTGATTTTGTAAATAAAGTCTGATCGAAAGTGGCAAGTTATAAGGTGATACAATCAATAGGTCCTATACTAAATTAAAATTGCGCTACATATGGATACGTCTAAGTGATCTAGAATAATACCGTTATCTCGTTGAAATGCACCCTAAATTCCGAGTTTACAAACATTAAAATAAAAATGATTTCTAGTCTATTAATTGAAAAGCTATCAAAGGTTCTGAATTGATAAAATTAAAAGCAAAAATAGAAATCAAAATAGAAAAATTTTTTCTACCCAATTGAGCAATTACGACTTCAATTTAATATTTTATTTTTCCGTATAGTGAGTTTTTGAGATTATGTGAGAAAAATGTAGGCGCTATTGCTGTACATTGCAAAGGTAAATCGAAGTCATAAAATTTTGTTTTTTAAATTTACAATGTTTAGAGATATTAGGCACGTATAAATATCTTAATCACGATAAGCTAGCGATCGTTATATCTTAGCACTCTTAAATAATATAATAATAATTCATTAATATAAATTAGCCGGACTTGGGCGAACTGGAACACTTCTTGGTTGCTATTTGATGAAGCATTACCGATTTACTGCATCAGAAGCCATTGGCTGGTTAAGGTAGGATCGTATCAGAGCTATTAATCTATAGTTAATGTAAGAAATGTAATAAGTTTGACTTTGTCTTATAGAATTTGCCGTCCAGGATCGGTTATCGGACCTCAACAGCATTTCTTAGAAGAGTAAGTATAATAGTAATCTGTTTCACTTGATAGCTATAAATTAGATATAATTCTACATAAAATCACTTACAACAAATTGTTTAAATCTAATAGGAAACAAAACTTGCTCTGGATTGAAGGAGAGGTCTTTGATGTACAAAATAAAAAGCATGAAAGTAAGTTCAGCAAATACTGTAATTTGTCTATACATGACCGTTCTCGTAAATCATCATCATATTTGTGCCAGGCAAGAATATTGCCAGTACTACTATAAAATATTAATTATAAGATTTTTTCATTTTTCTAGGTGATCCAGTAGAGATCAATAAACTTACAAGTGGAGTGGAAACGATTAAAATCGAAGATAGTAGAGATATTAAAAATCTCTTTACTTATTCCTCTCCAACAAGTGGTCTAGACATGGGTCTTAGCAAGAGTAGCTCGACATCTGGCATTAGTGCTCTTAGCAAAACGCTGACACCTCGAAGGACAAAACAAGAGGTAAACTGATTATTATTTACTCTTATGTATTTCTGCACTATCACTAACTCTTATGGAATATTACCTTAATATGTTTGTATTCAATTTATTCAATGCTCACTGATAATTACGATATTGCTCAAGTACATTTTATGCATTGAACTTACGATAGAGTGAATTCGGTATCACTAATACAAATAATTTTTACTTATGCTATTCCGTGTAAGATCATTTCAATTAGTGCCACATAATTAAGACATTAATAACATTGACTTGCATTAAATCATCAGCATCAACATTTTAGTCCTTGTTTCAAACGTCAACTAAAATACAATTTATAGATATTGCCGGATTTATTATAATATTACTTTAATGAGTTTGTTATTCAATGAATTGATAATAACGTTAATACAGGACATTCAATAATTTGTTCATTTTGTCCTTTAAACGATAGTCCAGTCTAGTCAACTGAATGTATCGATATTAAAAAGTTAATAGTGTTTGTAAAGGCCAATCATTTGCATCTCACTTCTTTGATTCCTGTTAGGACTTTATAAAATATTGATTAAGAATATGTGTTGACTTTTAATATGCTCGAATATAGCCTGTTAAAAAATGCTAATCTCTCTCAAATTAAATAATTTCATTTCACTGTGGTAATGACTAACCAGTAAATTAAAATTTTGTAATAATCTACTAGAATTTCAATCTGTTTATTGCTTTCTGATTTTAAATATTGTTTTTATTCAATTTCTAGACTATTACTACGTCTAGCTATGGATTCAGACCATCAACTACATCTTATTATAATACTAGAAGTGCAGCTAGGATTTCTTCCAGTAATACATCGAGAACATATACTCCAGCTACGCCATCACTATCGCAATCCTTATCCCAAGGCGATGAACTACGGCGACTGAAGTCTCAAAATCATGTGCGTGCTGCCACAACCGGTGGAGTTAGGAACGATGATTTAAGATCCCTCCATACACGTGGAATAACACAGCCACTAAGGTTGAAATGAACTTTATTTATTGACAGTCTTTTATATAATTACTGCGTAAAGTAAATGTTGAAATTGCGCCAAATGTAGACTAACTAGAAGTATTATTTTAAAACTTTAGAGTAACTGGCCTAATGTCAACGCAGCCTATTCTCTCGCCGTTAAAATCATCTCGTGTCTCTACGTTAAACAAGCGGCCAGCAACTAATCGCACTTTCGCTGCTTTAACTACAACAGCGCTGATGAGGTGATTAGAACTCTCCTACTTATACCATTATGGCTGCTTAGCAGGGATGGCCATCATTATCATTGCCTTAATCTACTGGTGCCTCCTATAACATATTTGCCACAACTTTTGATTTCATTTTTCTCCATCGATTTCTAAAATAGTATCGAAATAGTAAGAACTATAACATCAATTATCCTTATCACATCAGTGGACACATTCATGCTATTAAGTTGGTAGTGACCAATATTTTTTATTATTTTCTTTATCAACGTTATTGCTATATGATCTATCCAGTGAGCTATTATATTAGCTAGCATTAAGCGTCAAGAACTTGCACAGCAAATGAATACCATGAAGATAGATAAATTATAGAATATTTCAGTGAAAAGTTAACTAGAAAATAGAACACCTCATAACCATTACATGCTCGGACATTCTTCATCAATGCCATTACTTAATTAGATAGAAGGACAGACAAAATTTATCAATTTTCATGCCAAGCAAACTTTATTTTATGATATTCTTGTAATACAAGTTGTACAGATATCACATCGTACAATCTTGTATAACACTTCTACGATATTGGCATTGACATTAACCTTTTGAATACATATAACATAGAACTATATTTGTTACAAATTTATAATTCTAACTAAAGGAATTTATTTTCGTATTGAACTGTATCATAGCATCGTCCATTCGGTGCAAATGGCTTGTAGATAATCAATGTTTCATGTAACTAGTTCACTGTATTTCCATAATCATCTAATTAAATATTTCTTTTCGTTTTTATTATCTTATGATGTTATATCATCATCTATTTTCTTTTATAAATATATATATACATATATTCTTGCATATGTTGCATCTTTATATGAATATAAATGTCCAAGTGTATTAGTACATGTGCATATTATATACATATGCGTATTATCGATATTTTTATTCTACTATCAACTGCATTTTGGTATCTCTTCTTTGCTCTAATATAGTATATTTTATAACACTTTGACAGTCATACAGCTGTATTCTTGTATTGATATACTTTTTTATGTCATGTAGAATTACAGATTGAAATTCTTTATTACGATTTGTATCTTGTACTGATTGCTGAACTATCAGCGATCATGACTATAGATGTATGAAAATCTTAATACACACTAAGACCTTGCTATTTTCCATTTTAATATAAATTTTCTACCTCAATAGATTTAGTCTGTCAATTTTACATTTGATAATCCGCTGAATGTTAAAAGTAGATTTTATGATCTACTTTTATTTGCAATGAATCTTTTATGTTTTTGTTGTAATTTAACTCATCCAGAAATCAATAGAATAATAAAGTTAAATTTATAGGAATTCAAGAGATAGATCTGTTAGAAATACTAACAGAAGCTAGAAAGCCGTACTTGGTTATAACTACCTCAGTAGATGTAGGTGCGTTTACTATTACTTATTATTGTAAACGAATCAACAGAACTGAAAGACAGAAATAAAAAATTCTTTCTAGCTTCATAGTAATAATCAATCTACTTTACCCTATTATATTATGATTTACTTCTTCCATTGATTTGATCTATATTTACAAAGATAATTTACTGAACGTTTGAACTTTTCCCACATAATAAACCAGTGGTATTTTATGAGTTTAAAATAGTGAAATGAAATAACTATACAATTTTGTGGGTTTTCGCCTTCAAAATTTACCAGACTCTTTATTTCAGTATATTAAGTCCAATTATGTCTCAACGGCGGTGTCCATACGAATTCAATCTATGCATATTAATAAAATGGAGTGTTAAGTTCCTGTTATTTAAAAATATTTATCAATCTAATAGTATACTTTACCGCTTAATATTTTCAAAAGCCATGCTTTCGTAATAGACTAAAATTCATATACGGATATGTGTATTTACAAGAATTCCCTTATAAATAGCTCGAATTTTTAATCTTTGATTTATATTGTCTATTTATGATTTCACTTCTGCTTAAAGATTTCAGCAGTTATTTTTCTACTCTACCTATATTCGATACTTTATTATAAGTGAGGCTAGTTAATTTTAAATTTCAGATTTTTAATTTTGGAATAAGTACAATAGTTGAATACTCTATTAAACGTATGACATAGTTTGTCGGCATTTGGAAACAATGAGAGCTGGATTTACTTATTGGATTAAGTATTTGTTGGCTACAAGACCTTATGCTTGATCAAGCCCAATATGTTTGCACATTAAGATAGAAGCTCATGCAGTACGGTTTGCACTTCATGGACTATATGCATAATTGTATTCAGGACTTTCTACTCGATTGTGGCCAGATATAGTAAATTTTTACGATTAGCTTCAATTTCATAGTAAGATTTAATATATTAGAATGTTACAAAACCAAGTTTATTTAGTATTACTATTTTCTACATGCTATCAAGAACATAATTATTACTTATTAATCAATACAGCACTATCTAAATACAACCTTAAACTGATTATTAATTTATTCATTGTCTGAATATATTCGAATTTTCACTTTCTTAGAGGTGATAATTGACATCCTTTTAAAGCAAAATTTTTTAATGTAATAACGTATCGTCAATATTAATAAAATGACGAATAGGATAAGTCATAGAATAGTGATATGTCATTAAGCAAATGGTTAATTGTTGGTTGTCATCTTATATTTAAGTATTGATACAGGAGAGAATACATTAAATGCAGAAGCCTATTTTAATTGGTATATTAACATTATTAACTAAAAAGATTATCAAGTCTATCTCCGGTGGTATTAATCTTTTATTGACGTCATATGAAATTTAAAAATTGTTAAATATATTATTTATTATTCGATTAATAGTTTTTATCTTTTTATTTTTTAATGTGAATTATTTACCGCAGAATCTATTTCTATATAAATACGCGATTTCAGTACTTAAACTGTCGATATTGAAAAAGTGCGGTAATTTAATAAATAAGATAAAAAGAAAATTTATGAAAGTGCATTATTGTTGCATTTTTGCATATATTTTATTTTATTTGTAAAATTGGAAATATGACTGGTATGAATTTTTGTAGGTATTTCCTGTTTATATCTCCTACGATGGCATCACTACTCCATTTGACTTTAATAGAAATAATTTATAAATGTAGAATTATTGTGAGATACAAATAGATTCTTTGCATTCAACTAAATGTCTACAATTATTAGCGTAAAATGATTTTTGTTGATAAATACTGGTAAATGACGACGCTATGTTTCAAAGAAGTATGTACTTTAGTTTATTAGGTATTATTGATGATTATAAATTAGTCTTATATGTTTATATGTAACGGGCATGGAAGTTACTAATTAAATATTGTATTACAGCTTGCAGCTGTGATGATTTAGTTAATATTATATTCCTATTTCCTCTGTATCCGGTCACATGAATAAGTTATACCTAATAAGTAGCGCTCATATAGATACCATTTTTTTACTCTACTCAAACTATTGCGTTATTGTTGAATATCACCTGATCGTCATTATGGTAGACACCTGGTTGTAGGAAAATAGTAAAAAGAATTAGAGTAGTTTCGATGTTGTGCTTATAGTAATTTACTATGAATTACGATTGATCCATCATGTTCTACTACTAAAATTCGCTATTATTGTCCTTGATAATCCTCTGTTGTCTTGTGACAATCATCAACTATTTTCGTCCTATTCTATCTAGTCAATCTAGAGATCACGCGACTAATACATAAAAAGAAGATCGTCAATAATATATTTTCAAATAGTGAATGAGATCTATCTGTAGACATTTGGAGTATTAGGCATTATCATTCTTTACTGACAATGATATTAATAAACCGTATATCAATTCTGTTAACCATCATCGTCGATTCACTACCGCCAACAGAAGCATAATTATTGAATTGTCCTCTTGAACGTTGTAAACAACTTCTGGCGCGAATTTTATATTTATAGCGTTTAAGTTTTCTTTTATGATTTCAGTCAATAAAGCAATTTGGGCCAATGTTTTGAAGTCCTACGCATTTTATTATTGCCTTTTAACGTCATCGCTAACTTCTTAAGGCAATTTCATAAATACTGTACTTCCTTCATTGCAGATTTCTTAAAGCCACTATCTGATAGATTCTTTCTGCCGTTGAACTACTTAAATATTAAAGAATAAAGTAACACGGATGATAGTTGTAATATAAATATCATATGGCTTTATTAATAAGGCCTTGAGGGTATCACAAATATAGTGGAGGGACAATCTATATAGGCAAAAAGTAATTTACTGTAGAGTAGTTTTATGCCTGAGAATTTCGCCTTGACTACCAACATTAAAGAGGATAAAATTCTATCTTATCAGGATTTGTACAAGTATATATTTTAAAGCATTAAAAGCTGTGCTATATTGTACTAATAGCCATCCTTTTACTACTTAACTTCGGAACAAAGGTGAAGTAAATCATTTTAGATCATTGTACTTGTCTATACAAAAATATAAGGCGTAATGCTTGTCATTCGTTTAATATAGTAGATGAAACATTCTATTATACACGATGAAAAATATTATAAACAACATCAAGTCTTACGTAAATTTTTTATTATGAAGATTATATTTAGCTATTTTACTCGTTTAATAATAGTATAAAATCATAGTGGTAAAAAATTGTAGTACCCACCAATTTAAAAACCCGAAACTTGCGACAACTATATTTAGGCTATGAAAATTTCTTATCCTATCTTGAAAAACTTCCTTAATTTACCTATTAATTTTAAGCTAAAAGTGTATTATCCCATTATAGTT